CAACTCCCAGAATTCTTTGCTGGCTGGGGAATTCTGGGAGTTGAAGTCCACACGTCTTCAAGCCGCCGAGGTTGAGGAACTCTGCTCTAGAGCATTCCGACATCACGCGGTGAGTTCCACTGGGTCTGCCTTTGCCTTTGCCTTGTCTTGCCAATGCAGTGGGCCAAAGGTGTATGAGCTATATAAATGTGACAGATAAATAAAATAAGGCCTGGTTCTGCTTTTGCTCAGGGCTGCTCAGCTCTGCTGGGAGCCCAGTATAGACCGTATGCAGGTTAATACACTTACATTGTATCTTCAGGGGCAGGTGGCAGCAAGGGTGGGGGCAATTGTAAATGTGGGCCATCCCGAATTTTGGTCACGTGACCCTGGGGGCGTGCAATGGCCAGAACTTCGAGGACCAGTCGTAAGTCCGTTTTTTCAGTGCTGTGAAGAAAATGCAGGGAGCAGGAGGAGAAGGGGGGCACCGTTCAGGCTAGGGGTAAGCCAAAGAAGCTAAGTTCTGGGTGGGCAGGAGAGCTCCCTGAAGGGACTTAGCTTCAGCGCTAGCAGGAATGCCAGTCTCCCCCAGCCCCGTGGCTGAGTTTTTGGCTGCAGCCAGGACAGGCAGCTGCTTTCGCTGCTGAACTGTGCAGAGGGATCAGGGCTGACAGTTGTGCTGGGCCGTCAGTAGCGTGATGGCTTTGAAAGGGTGAGACGGGCTTCTGAAGGCAGCCGACGGCATGCCCCGACAAGATGCTGCCTGCACACCTGAAAAGAGGGAGAGCGATCCCCGTAAAGTGATCAGCCGAGCTCTTCTCTAAGCCTCCATTCCGAGTCGCTGGCCTGTTTTTTCCAAACGAGACCAGAGTGGAAACACGGCTCCAAATTTTCCACGGTTGCTCCGTGTGGAGCGGTTGCAAAGTAGATGGAAATAAGGCCAACCGACAGCAGGGACCAGGTTCGCTTTGCTTGAAGCAGCTGCGAGGCAAGAAGCCAAAGCGAATTATGGGATTTGCACCCCGTCTGTGGAGTTCCTTGGCGTACTTTCTGTTTTTTACCTTTTTGTTTGGTTTCAGTTACTTATTAAAGCCCCGAGGCGGTGCGTCCTGGCATGCAATCGATTGCCTATGCAGAGATTGTCTCCTCAGTAGGAATTTGGGGGAGTGCATTATGGGCTGCCTTGGAGAGAATGTGGCTGCTCATAAAATGGATGCCAGGCAGATTAAGTCTGCCAGCTTCATACAGCAGTGACTCATCCAGCTTTTGCCACATCTCAGGCCTGGAGCAGATGTGGAAATTTCCATCTCGTGTGAGAGGCTATGGAAACTCTCCTCCGGTTTCAGCCCAGCCCACATGAGGGACTCCTTTGCAGCCGTCCCCAGCTTGCTACCCTGAGGGTGTGTTGGGACTGCCACTCCCAGGATTCCCTAGCCAACCAGACTGGGTAGGGAAATGTGGGGGAGCATCCCCAGTATCTGGAGGGTGCCAGTCTGTAGGGAAGGCTGCATTCAGGGCGTAGTTAGGCCATTCGGAACAAGAAGTTGAATTGTATTTGCGTGGAGCTCCGAGACCACAATTCGTAGCCACGAGGCCAGCCTCACCAGGTAGAACAGACCAGGGAAAACTCTACAGGAAGGCTAAACTCCTTGACTGAGATGGGCTCTAACAACAGACTCTTGCAAGTCGGATTGCACTGGACCTTCTCCCCCTTCTTATACCCAGTGAATTAGGGAGGTTGTCTGAGCCTCTTCCAAATGTTATCTCGTTGTTCTGGACTTAAAAAAGGTTTCAGCCCCTTTTACCTAGATAATTCCTGTGTATCTCCTGCAAGATCATCTTCCTTCCTTATGATTTAACACAGGTTTTCTGACTGGTTCAGTGTGTTCTCTGAACCCAGATCTGAAGGGGGTAGCTTTCCTCTTCTGGGCTCTGCCTGGAGGAGAGGTAGAAGCGTGGGACCCGCTCTGCAGTGGCATTTTCCCCTCTCCTCCCAGGCATGAACAGCTGATGAAAGAAGGGTGCCAAGGTTTTGGGTGAGGAGACGCTCAATCTTCTCTCATCCTGAGCAATCCCAGTTGGTCCATCTGGAGGTTGGTCCAGAGAGGAGGATGGATGGATGGATGGATGGATGGATGGATGGA